AAATTTAAGAAACACAATGGCAACATTCAACAATTAGACTTAACAGTGACCTTGACATTTTGTGGCTGAATTGCTATCATTGCCAAGCACTTGGGAGCACTGTGTACATCACATTAATTTAACTGAACTAGAAATCATATAAATAAATATGACAATAAAAACTGACAAGATACCAACCTGCAGAAGTCTATTACACAGAGCACCAGGAACAGGGCCAGATATAGAATTAACCCTATTTATTAGCGTTGTTTCTGGGGTATACCAGAAAACCAGGATTCATACCTAGAAACTTTACCAAATAATCAACAATGTGGTTTGTTTTTATTGTTTATATCTCATATTTCCTCTAAGGCAAAAATACAAATGTCAGTGTCACCATGTTTAAAGCCAGTTTTATCAGTAGAAGAGATGTGCCATTCTTTGTATAAAAACTGTAAAAAGTACCTACATGTAGGCCGAAAAGTCAGGCAGTAAAAACCCCCACAAACCTTTAATGACTGTTAACAAAATCCAGAATCATACAAATTAAAATAGAAAATCTAAGCAGAGCAAAAAGAACACAAGTAACTAAGTGTATACTAACCGAGCTACATATCACAGAATAATTAGTGAAGACAAAGACAGGAAGTTGAGGCACAGGTGAGGCATAACCAAGAGCAGATACCAAAGTAAAATAAGAAGTTAAAACAAAAAGACAAGCAAAATACAGACAAACCATGTGTTGAATTTACACATGGCGTATGCGTGTTAAAAACATTTTGGTGTGTGTTCAAGAACACTCTAAACAGTTTCTGTTATTTGGCAGTTGTGTTGTTTTCAATTTTTTAAATTAAATGACCAAAAGAGGAAGATTAGCCGATTAACTGTTCAGTCTGTCAGCTCTTGACATAAAGGACAGGGAAATGTGATTGGCTATTTGCTCTTCAGTGCAATAAAAAGGGAAGTGACAAAGGGAGTGAAAAAAGGCTCAGTGCAAGTTTTAACAGCTGATGTCTCTCAGCCTACTGTAGTGCTACACAGGCCAGCAGACATGGAGACTAATAGCAAAGAAACACTACAAGCAGACTTTGATGTATTTGATATTTCTGAAGAGTTTGGATTTCTACTTGAAGAGCCACTGGTAGGTTTCACCCTTATCTTTTCTCTTCTAATGATGCAATGTTCTCATCTGAGACGCATTTTGTTTTGCCATATACTGGATAAATCAAGGAGGTTTGAAACTGAAGGATAATATAACATTGACTATGCTGTATATGTTGTTTATCCTCAGACACATACCTTAGCAGCAGCCTTAATTTAAATGTTTGTCCAGCTAGATAACAGTCTCTCTGGCCTAATTATGCTTGTTTTCTAGAAATATAACGAAGGACTACTTATCTGTTGTGAGCCTGTCTCTTTAAGTCTGGACTGGACTGCCACAGCATTTAATAGAATTAATTGAATCTAAGTTGTATAAGTCAACTGATAGAAACTATTGAAACATATTTCTCAAATTGGATAGTTGTAGTTCTTTGGGTTTGATTTCTAAATGTAGCAAAATGTAACAGCATTAATCTCTGACGCTCATAAAAAAAAATATTAGTCTAATATTGTTTCTGTTTATGGTATAGCCTATAGTTTCCATCTCCCCGCCCTTTTGCACCCTGTTTTCTGCTTGGTAGGGTGTTGCCTTGTTTATTATGGCCTCCTCTTTTAAATTGCTTGCTGTTGCTGATTGATGACTCCAGTCATTTGTTGACATGCAGGTCAGGCACCATGGAAAACATGAGCTGATGATGTTACTGATTACACTCTACATGAAAATCCACCACGCAAAAAACAATCAAAACCCAATGAGCAAGTCATTTTATTCCTATTATTTTCTAGACTCACCTCCCAGACCATTATCAGGTGTGGCTGGACCTCGCAAATAATCTCACACATCTGATAGAATCACGTAAACTACGGGATCTGGTTGATAAGGTCAGAATGAGCAAAGCCTTCCAAGTACAAAAATACTGACAGGCCATACATGTAAATGTGTACAGGTGTATTTTTGAGAGACTTGATGATGATCACCATTCCCAATAAAAATAAATAGATTTAAACAGAAAATCTAATCACAATTCAGATGCCGGTCTTGAGTCCAGATCTTTTGAGTGACCATCGGGAGCTTAGGCTCGCTCACCTAGCACTAGGATTCATCAGCATGGGATATGTATGGCAGGAAGGACAACATGCACCTGCTGAGGTAAGACACACAAATGAAAGACAGTAAAATGTTTACATTTCAATCAATAGTGCTCTAGCTGTTTGACCTACAAGTATAGTGCCCCATGCACACATAGAAGTATTTTTACTTTTTGTCCACTTGTCAACTGCATTTTTAGGTCACAGAAAATGGAGATTTTTTTTAAAAACTCCTTTAAGAGTGAACTTTCAGAAATTCAGCTTATGCATTTATATACGGACAAGGAAAAAGAAGACTTTGTAACACTTTATAACCAAACACTATTAAGCATCAGTAAGGTATTAGTTGATACATAATTCATTCTTTATAAAATATTCAAAGGTGGATTTAGAGGAATTTTCTTAGCGTGGCATGAGGGTGGCATGGAAACCAAATGGGGTGGGACAGTCAAAGCCTTTTTTTTTTTACACATATGCAGATGTTACATTCTGTAATATGAATTATATATGGTTAAAATATATCAAATGCAGTAAGTATACACATGTTTCACATTTCCTTTAGCCCACACAATTAAACATTTCAATTACATAAAAAAATGTGAGTTTTGATTTTATGTACTATACAGGCTATACTAAATAAGTATGTAACCAAACAAGTATAAAATCCAGAAAGCTACACAAAATGGGGTGGTTCATTTACAAACACGTCTAACTTATGTTTCACACTCCTTTACTCATTGGAAATAAGAAAATAGTTCCATGCTTAAATTTACACAAAATGCCAGAAATCTGCATGGTCATGGACACGTTTTTCATGATAAACCTATATATATATATATATTTTTGCAATGACTCAGTGTGGGTGCAGCTTTTTGCTATGTCAGATTTATTCGGTCAGGTCATTTACAGGTGAAGCACATCTGTTAAACCCAGAGGGTTAATGACGCTTACCTTTGTTCCATTGCAGAGTGTATCAACCACCAATGTTGAAATCTGAAATGCCTTTGTTTGGTGTTGGAACAAAATGTGCTCTTGCATAATTATAGACATCGGTTGCTACTGACAACAACAAACACAGCCAGCCTGCAGTAGGTTTATTATTAAAATAAACAACACTGTTACATGCAAAACTAGGGTGACACTTGGAGTGGGACATACCACCCCATGCCACTGCTGAAAACATCCAACTCCTTTTAATTTTTTTTAATGCATTAGCTTATCTGGCTAAAGCTAGCTAGCTGACTACAGCTGACTACAAACTAAAGCGAAGATAAACTCGAGGAACAAACTAAAAAAATGACTCATAACTCATAACATCTCAGTAGCCTAAAGTAGCTTTTATCACTTTAATGATACTTTGTTCGCAACTTTTTTATGACACTCTGTAAAATATCCTCCATTGCTTTGTCTTAACTTTATTTATGTTTTATTTTATATGCAGAAGTTTACTCTGTTGCTTTCTTAAACCCTCCTACAAACTCTGGTGCTGCTCACATTTCAGTTTTCTGCAAATATTTAGTGAGCAATATTTGCACCTTCCATTAAATATTAGCATGTTGTATCATTTTGCTCTTTGTTTGTATCCTTTTCTGTTGTGAAGACAGATGAGATGTGTTTGATTCTTAAGGTCCTGGTGACCA